CATTCTCTAAATTATATTCCTAGTGAATAATCAACTATATAGAGAGATTATCCTGTTTCTGAACTTTTGAGTACTTCCCTGTTGGAGCAAGTGACAAACTTGACCTGTTTATTCTATACAAAATGTTGTAAGAAATCATGTAGCAGCCTGACAAGGCATTTTTTTTAAAAAAAGACTTTTATTTGTGATCCCTGCTGCCAGGATTCCCTCAGGATGATCTTACAGAGTTTCAGCTACCACAAACCACAATTGAGTTGATTAAAGATTATATCACAGTTATCTATATAGCTGATGTTTTAAAAATCTGCCCACATAGTGCTTTTTTTGTGAATAGGTCAGACTAATTTGTCTCTCTCTCTCCCCTGCCTCTCTCCCCCTCCCTCCATCCCTCCCTTTCTTCATTCCTTCCTTCCTTCCTTTCTGAGGAAGATTGACCCTGGGCTAACACCTGTTGCCAATCCTCCTCTTTTTGCTTGAGGAAGATTGGCCCTGATCTAATGTGCCCATCTTCCTCTATTTTGTATGTGGGATGCCACCACAGCATGACTTGATGAGTGGTGTAGGTCCACACCTGGGATCCGAACCCAAGAACCCTGGGCCACTGAAGTGGAGCACGCTGAACGTAACCACTATGCCACTGGGCTGGCCCTTTAAAGTCAAAATTTTTTTATCTTAGTTTCTTTTTTCTTTTTATATCTCTTTTTCTTTTTGTGTTTTTTTATATCTCTTTTTGTTCAACCTTGCTTAGATGTGATCATTGCTATAAGGGGAGTGTTTTCCAGTTTGTTCTGCCATGCTCATTAGCTTCCAAACATCAATTCAGCAAGTTTTAGTTGTACTTAGAAGTTTTGGGTGTTTTCATTCTTAGTAAGTGAGGACAGATGCCAGTGTATCATTTCTTTCTGAAAAATGACAGGTTTGATAACTGCAGTGTTCATGTGTTCTCTAACTATAATAAAATCTATTCTCATGAAACAGAGAGTTTTCAGGTATCATAGATTTTTTCATAGGATTTGTTTTATTTACTGCACATATTTGAAAACAAAGTTCCTTAACATGAGATTGCTTAAAAAAAAGAACTTTGTAGGAAAATAGGTAAAATTATATTTGGTACAAAATATAAAAAATGTTTTAAAACTCAAGGTGAGGAAACTATTGCCTCAATGTATTTCTGTGTTTGAGGGTATTTGACCCTTTCAGCAAGAGGTCTTTTTTTTCTGGGGGTGAGGAGGGAGGGGAAGGAAGATTGGCTCTGAGCTAACATCTGTTGCCCATCTTCCTGTTTTTTTTCCTTCTCCCCAAAGCCCCAGTACAAAGTTGTATATCCTAGTTATGAATCATTCTACTACTTCTATGTGGGATCCCGCCACAGCATGGCTTGATGAGTGGTGTGTAGGTCTGTGTCCAGGATCCGAACTGGCGAACCCCAGGCTGCCGAAGCAGAGTGCGTGAACCCAACCACTCAACCACAAGGCCGGCCCCAAGATACCTTTTTAAAATTTGGGTTTCTTCCAATAATATATTGGGTTTCTATATTGCTTTTTTATACGTTTGTGAAAAAGAAACCATATCTTTTCTCTTTTTATCTTCTGACACTATTCTTCAGTTTCTACTCTCTTTTCTTCAAAATGAAAATTTATGCTTTTCTGTTTCATTTTGCTACCTATTTTAATTAAATGTCTCATTTGTCTCTCTTAAAGTCGCAAGTAATAGCAGTATTCAGTTATGTAATTTTATTTATTAAGCCCTATCATTTGATTGTTTTGTGGACAGTCAGTCCTTTCACTAAGGGAACATAAAATGTAAAGAAACAATTCATATGTCTCCCCTGAAGTACTGTGTCTGCAGGAGCTTAGCTGTATTATCAGAGAAAGACTTCTAACTCGCAGTCATTTCAAAGTTTGCCTACTTGTTAGGAGAACATAAAAAGGTATGCATCTAATGTCACATGGTTGTTAAGACTTCCAAGAAAGTTAGCTATACGTTGTTTTTAATGGATGGTAGCCTATTTTTATGAAAACTCTGTAATGCGTACTAGGAGAATATGATAATACAGAAGCGAAATCCTGTGCTCTGAAGAGTTTTCTTCCGAGGCAAACCTTTTTTGTACCTGGGTGAGTTAGCATGCTAACTTGGAGTATACATAATGAGAAGCATCTTTTAAGAAAAAAAATACAGCTTTGTTTTTCTTTCTTTCTTTAAGTAATTATATTAATTGTCCGAATAATTTCTAAATATATTTCCTTTGAAGTAGGTGATATAAATTTTCCAACCCCAAATTTTATTATTCTACCTCCAGTTTGTAGGATAGAAACCAGAGACACTGAGGTTATCATTGATGGAACAATATTAGAAATAGGACTGGGGCTGGCCCTGTGGCCGAGTGGTTAAGTTCGCAAGCTCCACTTTGGTGGCCCAGGGTTCATTGGTTTGGATCCTGGGCACGGACATGGCACCACTCATCAGACCACGCTGAGGCGGTGTCAAACGTAGCACAACCAGAAGAACCTACAACTAGAGTACACAACTATGTACTCTGGAGCTTTGGGGAGAAGAAGAAAAAGCAAAAGAAGATTGGCAACAGATGTTAGCTCAGGTGCCAATCTAAAAAAAAAAAAAAAGAAATAGGATTCCAGCTCATAAAGATACTTTTTGATATTTTGCATATCATTTTGACATAGGGATTGCTTTTTTTTTTTTTAAGATTTTTTTTTTTTTTCCTTTTTCTCCCCAAAGCCCCCCGGTACATAGTTGTATATTCTTCATTGTGGGTCCTTCTAGTTGTGGCACGTGGGACGCTGCCTCAGTGTGGCTTGATGAGCAGTGCCATGTCCACACCCAGGAATCGAACCAATGAAACATTGGGCTACAGTGGAGCGCGCGAACTTAATCACTCGGCCACGGGGCCAGCCCCAGGGATTGCTTTTAATATAAGTCAGATCACGAAAAGTACCAGACACCTCTGCCTGCCCTTCATCTCCACCACATAAACATATTCCCTTTCTTGTTACTAAAATTCTTGAATGTTTTTAGAGATATAAAGTATACATTTGAAAATGAATACAGGTCCATATGAAAACTAAGATCCTTACTCTGCTGACTTGGTCAGGTAACTTTGTCAGGCTCACGGGGTACCTGTAAATTAATTCATTTGCTCATTTTATACATTGTGTCAGGACAGTGCTCCTGGATTTTGAATATTCAAGGATGAATGGAGCATAATTTTTGCCCTTGAAGAGCCTGACTAAGAAGGAGTAATTGTTGTATAAACAAATAATTAATGAAAGTGACATAGTTCTATGGGTACCTAGAACATAGTGCTGCACCTAACTCTACTTGGGGATTTTCAAAGAAAGCTTGTTTGAGAGTGATAGTTCACTTGGGTTTTGCACAACAGCGAAGAGTTTTCTATATGGAGATGGCTGTAGAGGGAGAGTCCAGGTAGAGGAAATTGTTTTGTTGAGGGAATTATGGAGTGGTTGGTTTGTATGGCAAAAGATAAGACTTCATTGGCCTAGGGTTGTGAAATATGGAAGGTGATAACAATAAAATAAATGGAAATTGTGAAGGACCTTGGATTCCAGGCAGTGTATTGCCAAAGTGAAAAACTAGCTCTGTACTTGGACTCCTTGAGTTAGATCTCATTTCTGCCTTTTGTTTCTTCCTTGCCCTTGAGTAAAACCTCCTCTAAGACTTAGTTTCCTCTCTGTACAGTGGGGATAATGATAGCACTTTTCCCATAGGATTTCTGTGAAAATTCAGGGAAAGTATCCATTGGAAAGCACTTGGCTTGGCACATGTTACGTGCTCAATAATGTAGCTGCTTTTTAAAAAAATAACTCAAAACTAAGGAGTTTAAGTTTTAAATGTAAGTTACAGGATCTGACAGAATTTAAAAGATAGAATGCGGGAAGGACAACAAAAGGCAGAAAAATCAAGGAGAAGTCTGTTGTAATAATAAAAGAATGATATATACTGTAAGTGAAATACATTAGCTAAAATTACCTTATTAAAATAGCTTAATTGTTTCATTCGCCACTCCGGATGTTTTATCCCTAGTTGTAGTAGTCTTTTGCAGACCAAATAATATTCTTCCAAGCACCTCTTTTCAGGGATTTTAACTGTCAAATGAACATAGTTACTAAAGTCTGTAAATTTATCAGTCTGCATTGCGAAACAAAGTTCAAATTTCAGCTATTGTAAATTTTTGAATTTTTGTGAAATCTTTGTCATACGTTGGACGTTCTTTTCTAGACTGTTGGCCCAGGATAGTTTCCATTTGTGTCAGATATTCAGTGAGAGGTAACCAGAGAGAGTCCCCTTCTTTTCTTTCTACTTATTGTTACAGTGCCCTTGATGATGAGCTGATAATATGAAGTCAAAACATCAGTAATTTTAATGTAAACATAGGCAGGAAATTAAAAGATTACATCCATTGAAATTACTTTGGCCTTCTCATTATGTTGGTGTTTTGTTTACTGGCTAAAATGAGAATTAGAATTAACTGTGAAAGGATAAAAGAAACTTTTTTTAAAACAGTGAACAATTGCTGCACTTACAGGCAGTTACCATGTTGGGATAAGCATTTAACTTTGTGTATCCATTTGCTGTGTATGAAATTCAGCTGGAGAGCTGTATTTTTTCTCTTTAATCTGGTATGGTGTTAGGACTAAATAGTTTACCTTAATGTTGTGACATGATCTAAATGAGTCTACTGCAGAAGATCTCAGAGAGACTGTCCTAATAACCTGGGAACTCTGTCACCCACCTGAATGGAACAAGATAGAGCTAGTCTTGTTGTTCAGGAGCCAGTTATCTAGTTTAGAAATGAAATTAAGTAAATACGTCCTCCTCGGTTTTTGTAGTAGATTCTTCTCCTCCCCTTATGACTTTAATTTACAGATTTTATTTTGCTTATGAAAACTAAGACCTTCTCATTTTTTGCTGACTGTTTCCACCAAATACCCCCAATTTAATCCATGTCTGAAAATTCTCTTTAGTGCCCCAGGTTCTTCAAAGCTGTACAGCATTCATTGAGAGATATGGCATCGTGGATGGAATATATCGTCTCTCTGGAGTTGCCTCCAATATCCAGAGGCTACGGTAAAACCTTATATGGCATTTTCTTTTTCATTCCTATTGTAATTCGTTAAAATAAATTATTTGAAAATTGAGTCACTTAAATTGATAACAATGATTTTCAGCAAGATTGTTTAGATAAAGTAGAAATAATATCTGTGTTGTTCTCTGTATACATTTTTCTAAATGCCTTTTCTTCATTTGTGGTATCAGAAAAACATGTCCCCTTAACCTCTTGAATAATTGTATTTTGTCTCTACAGTACTTGAAGATTTTAGTAAATTGAGTTTGAAACTATGACAAACCATGAGAGATGAAAATTTAAATTATAATAGAATTATTCTTTAGTTCTTAATTAAAATTGATGAAGGTGAAACTTTTTCTACATCTCCTTTGACCCTGGTTCTCTTGGGTATGCTCAAGTATGCATGTGTTATGTATTCCACATCCTCTCCCATTATCTTCTCAGAAACAAAAATAGTGGTAGCCTTTACAGCAGCAAAAGAAGTTTTATATTTGCTTAATCTCTTAGATTCTAGTCTATTCTTAATATTTTATTATCCTTTATTTTTCACTGTGGCGCATGATAATTGCCATTATTCTGTAGGGATTTTAATATTCTAGTTGATCACAGAGCTCAGCTCTATTTTCAGGAATACATGTTTGGAAAATATTGAAATCGTTCTTGTACTAAAGACAGTTTCAGTCTTTAGTTTCCAATACAGCAAATCTCATATTCAGATTTTCCATATATATTAATCCTCTAGGTTGATAAGTGGTCTCATGCTGGTAGATTAATGTTAACCTCCAGGAGAGTGAGCTTAATCTGCCTTAGTACTCTGAGCACAACTTTTATTTCACTCACTTTAATGCTACAGATTTTACTGTCTATTAAAATTTGATGTTAGCTGGGAATTGCCCTGTATTGTTCCTGGCTTCCTTACCCCTCTTCAGGAAAGCAGTCCTCAGCTGTACTCCTTCTATCTGAGGAATTTCTGTACGTGGCTGTTCATGGACCAGCTGCCACTCAACTCTGGTTTCCAGAATTGCCAAAATATTGGATATTCAATCCATTAGGAATTAGGAGTCCTGTTTTCAGATCTCTGTGTTAAGAGTTGTTCGTTCATATGCATTTCAGAGATTGTTATCCATTTTAGTATTAAAGCTGTGCTCTTAATTTCCATGTTAAAAACACACTTATCTTATGATCAGAGATCCAATTACTGTTGAAGTCCAAATATAACTTACATGGAAGAGAATCATTTGAAGAAAACCTTCCCTCACTGAGGTAGAGGTTGACACTTCGGACCTTTGCTTTCTATTTTAAAGTCATGTATTTGCTTTTCCTTCAGTGAAATAATTTTGTTTTCTCTTCTTTGTTAGCCATGAATTTGATTCTGAACATGTCCCCGACCTGACAAAAGAACCGTATGTTCAAGACATCCATTCTGTGGGCTCCCTCTGTAAGCTGTACTTCCGAGAGCTCCCAAACCCCCTGCTCACCTACCAGCTCTATGAGAAGTTTTCTGTGAGTACCAGGCACTTTGAATCAAGCTCTGATTGGGGTTTTGTTGTGATTTTGTTCAAAACTTGTAAAGATTGTTTTGGTCATGTAAGAAATAGTTCTGTGACTAAAATGCCTCCTTTAAAGAAAACAAAGAAGAGTTATTGCTAGCTAGTCTGTAGTCTGCTGTTTTTCCATTTTCATTCTTTTAGTTTCTGTCTTTGAGCCACTAATCTTATCACCCTTACCATAAAGTTTCTAAATTATCTTTTGGTAGATGTCAATGTCCACGTAGTATGGAAACAAAGTTTACTTCCTTGATACTATATTGTGTTTCCTTGTCGTTCAGCATCAAAGAGTAGAGAGAATTAATCTCAGAGTGAAAACTCAATTGTACAGGAAGAAGTTTCATTTTTACCAGCAAAGCCTACCAGTTTATTTTGCATTATGATTGTTACAGGATGCTGTTTCAGCAGCAACCGATGAAGAAAGGCTGATAAAAATCCACGATGTCATCCAGCAGCTCCCCCCACCACACTACAGGTAAACCACAGGCTGTAAAATACTGGCCAAAAGTAGAAGTCAGTTGATGTATAAAAGTGTTTTTTCTGTAGGTTTCTAACTATTTAAATTTCCTTGGGGTTGTGAGTATGTAAACTTCAATTTTTCCATACATTTGTATTTACTAGTCTTTGTATCCCCAGGGCCCAGCACAATAGTTAGCATCCAATAGACACTTAATAAGCGTTGAGTGAATGAATGAATGAATGAATGAACAAATGGATAGTTGACTAAACCTGCTTTTTGTTTGTTTTTTGAGCCACCGAGAAATACTGCTGAAGGTGCTTGGGTGTACGACCACAAGTGTGAATGCTTTACCTGTGAATTACTTGAATCCAAAACATGGATACAGCGCTGGGGGCCTTGTTTACTTGTTTCCTTTTTTCCAACCCTCTTTTCTTTTTCACAAGGTGTCCAAGCTACATAGAATCACAAAATCTAGCAAGTGTCTCAGAATGCCTTTTCATGAGACTCACATGATCTGTAAACCTGTGTTTTGTTTTAGGTTTTATTGTTGTTTATTGGTTTGTTAATGTTGCTACTTTTTAAAACTCAATTTAATTTATATGTTAGTTTGGACTCTCAGAAATATTTTGCTCGTATCCGAGAAAAATAATAAAATTGAGGATGACTGCCATTTAGTGAGAGAAAGAAAACAGCATAGATCATGGATTATAGTCTGTAAAAAAGCAAAAGGTAAAATTTTAAAATTTCAGTTATTGACAAGAAATTAAATTCAGTAAATGTTTTAGTAATACACGAATTAAGTAATTTACTGCTAATTTTTTCAAAATAGCATCATTCATATATATATATTTTAAAAGTCAGCACTAAATTTGGCACTAAATCAACACTAAAATTTTTAACCAACTTTAAAAATCAGCACTTTTTTAGTCGACACGATTAGCTATACATGCGTGAGACTCAAGAGCCAGAAGGTGACTCAGCATTGACACATTGTTCTCTTCATATAGCCTGTCTTGAGAGGAAAGAGGAAATTAAACAGGTCTTGAGAACCCATAGAAGAGTGGAAAAAAACCAACTCAAAAGAGTTTTTGTGAAGCAAGCTCAAGAAATTTAGGTATTTAGCCCTGAAAAAGAAGGCTGAGGAGACAAATCTGATCAATAAGCAGTTATTGAAGAATATCTTTAAGGGAGAAGAGAAATTTTTTTTAACTTAACCAGAAAAAGAAACCTAGTAAAGTTTAAGAATATTGGCTTTGATAGATAAACCTGACTTTGAATTTCCAGCTTCATCTCTTACTAGCTGTGTGACTTCTCTAAGCATCAATCTCCATATCTGTGGAAAGAATACCAATAATACCTCGAGGATTTTTTTAAATATTAAAATGAGATGAAATATGTGAATGAGTCTGGCTCTTACTATTTTTTTAATATAAAGCATAGCAAGACAGATTGATTAGATTTAAGCCAAGACTTCTTGACTTGGTGGTTTTACATGCATTACCATGTAAATCTATTGTTTTTCTCTAAATGAAAAGAAAGATCCATATAACATTTGTGCATAGTTTTAAAAAGTCAAGTGGTGTGCAGAGCTGACAGTGGCAAACAGTAGTCTCCTGCTGCACACCTCCCCCTTTCTAATTGCTCTTTCCCAGAAGTCATCGTTCTCTCAACTCTTTCTTCTGGAGTTTACTTCATGTTTCTAAATAGCATGCTGATGATTTTATTTGTTGATTTTTCATTTTTAAATATTATTTTTTGCCCTTTTTTTGGTAGCTCCATAAAGAGCGTTTTATGCTGTCTTGTAACTTCACCATTTCCTATACCACACAAACACACACTTCCCCTTCTCATCTTCATAGTCTAGTATGTCAGCATTTGGAGTTAAATCAGTATTCATTGTCCACATTGTAATAACTATGTAACTGTTATTCCCAACTGTACCCTAACAGTATACTAGAATTATATTTCCTTTCTGGGATAACTTTGTGGAGTGATTCCCCATTTTTGGCTTGCTAAGTTTCTATTTATCACTAATTTATTCCTCAAACTCACTAACAGAATTATAAATGCTCTTTTGGTGTGTTCAGACATATCAAGTACCACCCCCAACCCCGGCCATGAAAACATCCCTCACTATTGATTGCTCTCTAGATCTACAACCCAGCTGTCAACCCTGTAGCCTCATCCTGGAAATCCCCTTCCTCACTCCTTCATGAGTTAGATCTTTTCTTTTCTGGATCTCTTGCTGTCATCTTCCTTGTTTTTACTCTGTGTTTGTAGTATATATCTTCAGTATCTTTCTGAGAAAAGGAAGCTTTTCTTTGATATGAAAATGTTCTTATTCTAGTCTTGCATTTGATTGATAGTTGGCTATAAAATTTTAGTCTTTAAATAATTTTTCCCACAATTTTGATGGTATTACATGATTGTCATCTAAGCAAAAATACTGCAGCAAAGTCTAGTACTAGTCTTCCACTTTTTTATATGACCTGTTTTGTTTTGTTTATATGCTTTTAAATTTAGAAGATACCCAGTGGTCACTTTTCACATTGACTCATTTTGGAATGGGTTCTTTTTCATTCTTTACTCTGGGCATTCAATGGGCCTTTTCCATCTGGAAACTTCTGAGAAATTTTCTTGTATTATATTCTTGGCAGCTCTCATTGCAACTTAAACCCCATCCCTTTTCTCTCTTGTCTTTATATAATGTTGTAACTCTTGAACTAACTCTTGCTTTCTCACCTTTTCTTTGTCAGTTTCCACATATGAATTTCCTCCAATCCATCAATTGATTTAAAAAAAATTTATTTCCAAGCACTAACTAACCAGCTGCCTGTGCACCTGCCTGTCTGCCTGCCGCCATCCTTCCTTCCTTCCCTCCGCTAGTCCTCCCTCCCTCTGTTTTTCGTTTCTGTGGATGTTCCTACCTTATAGTATCCTATTCTTGTTTCATGGATATAATCTCTTCTCTCTATGAGAATATTATTGGTAATTATAGGTTTTGTTTTGTTTTAAATTGTTCTGTGCTCATCACAGTATTTGTTTCTTCTTCATTTGGCAGCTCACTAATATCAAGACTTTGCAAAGTGTTCAACTGAGGTTTTATAGAAGCAAGAAACAAAAATTCTATTGTAAAAAAATCATATTTGATAAATGTTGATAGCATTTAACTTAATTATGAATTAAAATAACCTTACATAAACAGTTACAGAAACACTTGAAATTGGCTTTAAGTAAGCTTATAATTCAAATGATGTTAGTCAAAGTGTTCAGGGATACCACACAGAAACCTATTGGCCAAAAAATTTATTGTGCCTTGGACACCAGTCAGTACATTTTGCAGAGAATTTGAGAGTATCGGTTAATCTGTGGGTGAATTAAAAGAACATCAGTAAGAAGAGACTCTATCATATAGAGAGAGTATATGTGTGTGTATGTGTATATATATACACATATATATCATATAGAGAGAGAGATGTGTGTGTGTATATATATCATATAGAGTATATATGTGTGTATGTGTATATATATATACACATATATATCATATAGAGAGAGTATATGTGTGTATGTGTATATATATACACATATATATCATATAGAGAGAGATATGTGTGTGTATATATATCATATAGAGAGAGTATATATGTGTGTATGTGTATATATTTATACACATATATATCATATAGAGAGAGTATATGTGTGTGTGTATATATATATACACATATATATCATATAGAGAGAGTATATATGTGTGTATGTGTATATGTATATACACATATATATCATATAGAGAGAGTATGTGTGTGTGTATACATATACACATATATATCATAGAGAGAGTGTATATGTGTGTATGTGTATATATATACACATATAATATAGAGAGAGTATATATGTGTGTATATGATTATGTATACATATATGTGGACATACACTATATTCTCATACAGTGAGGTACATCTCCTGTATGTTTTATATTTTACAAAAATAAATCTCCTACCATATGTTTTATTTATATCTCTTATATTAATCCCTTGCTGTGTAGTATATTCATATCCGCTACTATATGTAATATCTATATGTTATAGACATTATAATGTAGGAACTTTGGAGCCAAACTGTCTGTATTAACTGTGTGACCTTGTGACCTTAAGCAAGTTCCTTTGCCTCTCTGGACTCAGTTTCATTGTTTGTAAAATAGAGATAATAATGCTTTTCTCACAGAGGAAGATGGGCACGGATGTTAACTCAGGGCCAATGTTCCTCAGCAAAAAAGAGGAGGATTGGTGGCAGATGTTAGCTCAGGGCTAATCTTCCTCAAAAAAAATAAATAAAATAATACTTTTCTCGTAAGATTGTTATGAGTATTAAAGCAAAGCATTTAGAACAAGGCCTATTAAAAAATGCCATTTCTATGAGTTAATTACCATTATTATCATTGTTATTATCTGTTAAGTATATCCATGTGTTAATGCTACTCTATTATGTGTTTTATCTATATACACACACAAACATAAGTGTGTGTGTGTATATATATATATACACTCACGCACATATATGTCTCCTACCATATTGATATGTAGCTTTTCTATTATGTTTATCTACTATACTATAATTATATTTCCCCTACCATAGTATATATTCTCCCTTATTACATAGATATAGATATTTGGCAATAATATATAGATATTTCCCCTCCTAATTACATATATAGCTTCCTTGTTGTCTATCTATTTAATCTTCCCTGTTGAACATTATATACCTTCCCTGCTGTATGTTATATATTGTACATATATGCTACTATATGTTTTTTAATATACTAAATTGCGTATTTTATATACAGCCTCTCTAAAACACAAGCAATTGAGGTAATGAATTCTGCCTTGTCACTTTATTCTCAGAATAGAATCTTGCACATAGTAAATGTTCAGTGATACATATTGCATACACATTTTATATATTTTGTACACTATATATAGAGGACATACTGATGTGTATAAGTACATATAACACTTATGTATATCCTTTTATTACTCCATCTCCTAATTATATTACCTACCATGTATGCCCACGTTTTACATATATTGTTTACTATATACATATCTCCTGCTCTCTATTATATACAATTCCTTGTCATGTATCTTCTGCTATAGAATGAATTTTCGTATTCTAGCTACTTCTGTATAATTTGTGTGAATTTATATATATTTTTACTTTATATACCTCTTTTGATCCAGACTTTTAAAGCTTTTAACATTTATATTTCCTAATTCCTTAAATGTTCTTTAAAAACAAGATTTTTAATAGTGTTCTCTTGTGTGGATGGGCCATATGTTATTTAACCTTTTTCCGTATTTGCCTATTTAATCTATTTATGTGGTAGAGGTTTTTTTCCGATTTTGAACATTACTATGAGGACTATTTACATGAATCTTTTGGGGAAATCTAGATTATTTTTTAGGATAAAGACCTGACAGTGGAATTCTTGGAAATCAAAAGATACTAACATTTTCTTCCCAATATACAGCAATTTCCAAATTGTATTCCATGAAGGTTTATGTAATTTGCACTCTGCTGAATATGAAAATGCTCATTTCATGGCACTCTGACTAAAATTCTCCATTAGCTTTTAACAACGTCTTTACAATTAGATATGTGAATAAAATGGTATCTTTGGTTTTTTTAATCTGCTTTCCTTGTAATACATTTTTGAAATACTTTAATCTTTCCCTTCTTTCGTCTGCCACCCCCAAATAATAAAATTTTGCGTTGTTTTCTAAACACATTTCTCAAGCTTCCCACCTCCACGTTGTCTCCAGGCCAGCCCGACTTCCCTCTATCTGTGGACCTTTCCTCACTGAACTGTGTGGGGGGGAGAGAGAGTCACCATTTTCACGGTAGAGCAGCTCACTGAGCAGAGACTTTGGAGCCCAGCCGCCCTCGACTTGAACCACAGCACTGCTCGCCTGTGTGACGTGGGCACACCTTGGCTTTCTCCTCCATGCGGTGGGGAGTGGTGATGCTGCTCGTTAGGACCTTTGCGAGAATTAGATGCGATTCCCTATAAAAGCATCTGGGACAATGCCGCTAGCTGGTGTCTTCCTTCGCTTCTCAAATTCATGTTAGGCTCATCTGAATCTTTGAAGCTTCTATGTTGACCACAATTTAACATTCATTAGTTTCAAATAATAGTCTTGAACTACTGTCTCCCGTTCATCCTCTTTAATGGTGTTAAGCCCTTATACACTTAGATAGGGACGCGTGAGAGATGTGGTAGCTGATAGGTAATGCCTCTGTGTGTTTATCTGATTTAACTTACATTTAAGTTGATCATGCTTTATTTCCAAAAATACTCTGCTCTGTTGTTATTAAATAACAACACGTATATAAATAAATGTATATAAATAAAATTGTTTCAATAAAGTAAACTTAGAATGTATAAGATAAGCCAATATATTAGGATTTGGCATAGGCTTTCTATTCCAAAAGCACAATGTTTGCTCAAATATTCTCTTCGTGGTGCCTGCTGGAATTTTTCTTTTAATTCTTTTTAGGCTTGTGAAACATTGTTGTTTGCTTGTATAGAAGAAAAGCTTAAATCCTTTCCTGCAAATAGGATAGCATAACTTCACAATACCATTTGTCTGGAAACTAGCTTCTGTGAAGGATTCACTTCACTGGTGTCCTTGAAACTAGATGTCTGACAGCAAGGGGCAAATATTCCTAAAGATTTTTTAAAAACTAAGGCTGTTTACTCAGAGCCAGTCCTGTCAGAAACTTTCATTTCTTATTGCATCTGCCTTAGACTTTTTTTCTTAGTATTCTGTAGATAAAATTCTGTATATAGAATTCATAATGTTCTTCTGACAGTTCTGTAGTAATAATAATACTCAAACCTAATAGCTCGCAAAAAAATTTGCTGAGGTTTTATGGCTGCTTTTCCCATTTTGCCATTGAAAACTTACAAATAAGTGGAGCTTTTATGCTCTCTACTGCTACATAATGTTTCTTTTTGTTGTACTTCATTTTCCAGAACACTGGAGTTCCTAATGAGACACTTGTCTCTTCTAGCTGACTATTGTTCCATCACAAATATGCATGCAAAAAACCTAGCAATTGTTTGGGCTCCAAACCTGCTGAGGTAAGTTGCATTTGACTTATGACTTTAAGTAGAGCCAATCAAATAAAAGTCTAATTCATCAGTGCTCCTAAGACAATTTTTTTTTTTTTTTTTTTTTTTTTTT